AGAAAATTATAGGGTTTTTCAGACAGATACAATCTTGCATTTTTGTTTATGAAACCAGTGAATACTAAATAATTTTCATTTCACATTTATTTGTATCTAAGTTATAATTTTTAGATTAAGTGATTTGATGTTATTTTCAGAAGTTTGCATATTTTGAGCAGTACAAAGAATGGCATCAAGAAGATTTCTTTTTTAATATCTCCTCTGTGAGATAATATGTTAATCTTTAGTGAGCTTTAGCTTCAGAATTCAGTTTTGTAGGCTCAGTGTCCTGGTGTGCTGGTGTGGCCTTGTGGATTAATGTGCTGGACTGCAAGGTCGGTTTGAACCACAAAGTTGGTGGTTCAAGTGCACCAGCAGCTACTTGGAAACCCTATACAGGGTCACTATGGGTTGGAACTGACTCGATGGCACTTAATAACAACACCATGACCTGGTGTGGCACTGTAAGATAAGCCCTGGACAGCAGAGTCAGCAGTTTGAACTGACTCCATGGCACTGGACAACAACCACATTTTCACTACAAAGGAGCCCTGGTAGCATAGTAGATTACAAGCTGGGCTGCTTGTAAGGTCAGTAGTTCAAATTTGCCAGTTTTTCCGTGGGAGAAAGAGGAGGCTTTCTGCTCCTGTAAAGATTTATAGCCTTGGAAACTATATACAGGGTTGCTGTGAGTTGGAACTGACTTGGTGACACACAACCACTACCACCACCATATTCATTACAGGAGGCCTGGTGGTATAGTGGGATAGCAATTCAAATCTATCAGTCCACTCCACAGGAGAAAGAAGAAACTCTGCTCCCATATTTATAACCTCGAAAACCCTACATAGGGTCACTATGATCAGAATCTATGGCTGTGAGTGGATATATTCACTATACTGAAGTCCTGGTGGTGTAGTGGTTAAAGTGCTTGACTGCTAACTAAAAGGTTGCCAGTTCGAACCCACCAGCTATTACATGGGAGAGGGATGTGGCAGTCTATTTCCATGGGAATTACAGCTTTGGAAACCCCAGAGGGCAGTTCTAGGGTATTCTATAAGTTGCTGAAAATTGGATGGACTTGACAGCAGTAAGTTTGGGTTTTTTGGTTTCTATTTACCATGAATCAAAAATAAAAACAAGGTTATTTGTATTAGCATTTTAAATTTAGTTGTTAAGTGCATAATGACCTTGTATAGGGTTTCCGAGGCTATAAACCTTTACGGGAGCCGAAAGCCTCATCTTTCTCCCAAGGAGAAGCTGGTGGACTTGGAACCACCGACCTTGTGGTTTGCATAGTGTTTGCCCTATGGAGCTACCGTGTTCTCCAAATTAAGGCTTAATTCTTAATAAATTCCAACTTTAAATCATCATTAAACTTTTTCTAATCTACCATAGTTGTAAAATTAGGGGGGAAATCTGAATGTGCCTCCTTTAATGTCAGTTGAGTTTGTGAGCGTTTACTGAATAAAGATACACAAATATTTCCATTAGAATGGAATATGAAGTTAACCATTTCTGTAGGCCAAAAATAGACAAGAGATAGGTTCAATTTAATATTCAGAGTGTTAGATTTTAACATTTTATTTTTTTCCTTGTGACTGGATTTGTATAATTTAAAATTTGTTTCACTTTAATACTGAGTAGTTATGCTAGTCTAACCACACTTAGGTTCTCCCTATATATATACATACATATTTTTTTAAGTGTTTTATTGTGAATTATATGATAGTTTACATGGGAGAACATTAGTTTTACATTCATTCTATTGTACATCGTATCATTGCCATGGTTACAATCCCCTCCATGCATCATCAACCGACAAAAGGGTATACCCTGCAAGTCTGCCCCCTACACTATCCCCCTTGCCGCTCCCGCCCCCCAGTCTTCAACACAGTCGCTCTCCCTCTCTGGATCTAAAGTCCCCAGCTGCTCCATCGCTCCACATCATTGTCTCTGCCTCCATCTTGGGCATCACTGCTTCTCTGGGTAGGGTCCCGCTCTCAGCTTTTCTCCATTGATGGTCCTAGGGACCTCCGCTCCTAGACTGAAAAGTTATTCCCTCCCTTCCTTGCTATAAAATGTCTACCTTTATTTACATTTCCAACCTTCACAATCAGTCCTGATAACAATTATTCACTATTGTATCACAAGAGACCCATCTGTATTTCATTTCATCAGCTCTGCCTAGGCAGATTGGATACTACTCACTGGAGATTCTGCCTTCCTCGAGGCCCCCTGGCTCTGGGTTCCCTCTTGAAAGCTTGTAAGCCAGTCACTTCTTGCCTTTGTAGTCCTCCCTCCACATTTTGGGTAGCCAGTGTCCAAGTTGCCCATCCCTATCTACTCTGTGTGTGGAGGGAGTGGGAATGATTCTTGTAAGAATTTGTTTCCTCATTTGAGCTACTGCTTCTATAGGTGTAGGTCAAGTTCATCAAATTGCATCAGATTACTCTTTTTTTGCCTCTTCTTTCTTCTTCTGATTGAGCTCTGATCATCCGGTCATTGAAGCCAGGTCAAGTGGGTATTATCTGCAAGTGTGGGTGTTCTTGTGCATGTGCCCTCTCTTTTTATCCGCTGAATGCTTCACTCTCCACATTGTAGGGCTTAGCTCGCCACGTCATTGTTGTTTTTCCCTCATTTCCCCTTATAGGTGACAAGCGTGGTCACCAATCAGAGCGTGTATTCCCATTGAGTCTTAGTCTTGGAAGGGGGTTTGCACTGAGGGGACCCGACCACTTGCCTTGATGTTT